ATGTTTCCTAAAGCTCTGTAAGCTTCCAAGCTGCAATTCAGCCCCAAACCCAACAACACAGCACAGCTCACAGATCTGTCCCGAGCAAAGCCATGCACGTCCTCATCATTAATATGATGCCTACTTTTCCACACACTCAGATTGGTACCAGGGCACTGGCCACAGGTGGCTTATTTTACCACCACAAGGGCTAATCACCACCACAAGAAGTGACTTACTGGGTTTCTCTATTCTGATGTACGGTATTTTTAAAAAGTTTCATTCATGCACATCTTAAAGAAGATTCTTTGGGACTCTCCCCCTCCCATTTTTTTTTCCTTCTGGCATATCACGACTTCAAAGAATTAGAGTTTAAGCCACTTCCAACCTTCTCTCTCATCATTTTGCTAAATTAATATGTTGAGTTCTAGTTTGTATTCACTCATTAATTAAATGGTCAGGTGCTATGGTAATCTTGTTTCCCCCAAAAAGAAACCGGACCCTCCATAACCTAGAAAAAAGACAACAGAACCAGAGAAACTAGATTTGAATTGAAAGACACGAACTCAAATAACCTGGTCCATAAAAACAAAACAAAACAACAACACACACACACAAACACCCTGGTCCACTGTGCAAAGAGCTTCAGAACACGTGCAACATTTAGGGAGAATTGGTCCTGGTGCACTGGTATCAACATCTGTAAACAGACACAAAGAGGTAATTGTAAGTTATCAAGAGCTGGGGAAATAGGAGTTACCAAGTAATTACCATTGTTTCAATCTGAGTTACCACATCTTCACCTCAAAACAACTGGCAGCTAGTGTACAATTAACTCTCCTTACTGCAGCACAGACATCAAAACAGTAGCCATATCAGATTAATTTTAAGTCACCTAATGCAATACAGAACACCACAACTTCAAGAGTGAGTGGTATCAACTGGCTCCCTAGCTTGCCCATCTTTCACAGGAGTGTCCCAAAACCCCCAAAGTTTAAGAAAGAAATCAACTGGTACTCTATACTAAAAGGCTAGCTCAGCTCCCAAGACTCCAAATTCATTTAGATTTGTGGATTTTTTTCCCCAAATACAATCAGTGGCCAACGAAGGAGTCAATGGCTTCTCCCTGTGTTCAAGTCCCCTCCTACCCAACCACCCCCTTTCAGAAATTAGAAAGAAGCCACCAGTCTCCAAACTGGCTGATGACATTTCAGCCTACAAGATATTTTCATACTTTCGTTATAATAAACCACTGAAATGAAGATGAATAGCGGACACCTTACTAACCCACTGGCTAAAGCATTTGAAGTCCAGCGTTAGCATAAGAAGTCCAAAATTTTTTAACCCAGACCAAAGCCCAGTATACATATGTTATATACATTTCATTATCAGTTCCCCATTCCTTTGTGTTACTCTGCAGTATGGAGAGTGGAGTCTATTGTTTGCCTGGTCCTAGCTGTTCACTTTCGTCACTAGCTTGCTAACTAAAAGACTTTCCATTTGTATTCAAGTCGGAATTCAGTAATTCAGTACCACGCTGTATTCCACTCCCTTCATTACCCTCAGGATTGCCCAGCAAGCGCTATTCAAATTAGTTCTCACAATCCATTTACCAATGCTAGTAAAATACCAGAACTTAAAACAGGTGATAGTCCTCAATTTCTGATTTTTCTCCAAACACTTAAAGGCTTTATTTCACATTTCTAAAAGATTTTTATGTATTTATTTGACAGAGCGAGATACAGTGAGAAAGGGAACACAAGCAGGGGGAGTGGGAGAGCAGGCTCCCCACTGAGCAGGGAGCCGACAGGGGGCTCACAGCTCCATCCCAGGACCCCAGGATCATGACCTGAGCAGAAGGCAGACGCTTAACAACTGAGCCACCCAGGTGCCCCTTATTTAGCATTTCTAATATGGACTTTACTACAAATAGCCCAAGCAACATTTAAGTCTCTCAACCACATGGCTCAAAGGGCCAATTCACTCAAAGAACACACTAGTCACTGTTGTGGGGTTCAGAAGAAAAAAACAGTGTATTCTTTCTGTTTCGGCCCACTGTGACATAGCAGAAGAGGGCCAAATCAAGGAGGAGTCCTGATTGGGCTTCTCAAGTGGACAATCTGGTCAAGGTGAGGCTGAAAAGCAGCTGACTACTAGAGATGAAGAGCCCCAACAGAAGGGAAAAGTAGGTTACATCCCCTGGTTACATGCCAGCCCAAAGATGCAGACATAGTGGGATTGAGCCCACATGGTCATTTATCTAATGTAATCCACTGAGTGAACTTTTAGCACCAACCTACACCTCAGCTGAGTGTTATTAGTCACCAGGCAGACCAGACAAGAATGGAAATATTGCAACATAAAACCTCCCTGCAAAAAACAACTTGAAACTTATATCCTGATGGACATCTCTGTAGACCAACAGGGGTATGTTATCATCATTTGCACAATCTTCAACCCTCAATTCATAAACAGCTGGAAACGAAGGAGGATTCATATATTAGAACATATGCAGGATGCTTGTTATGCAATTTTAAAGAGCAGCTTCTGAGACAAAATTCTGTAAGGAAAAAAAAGTGTGCTCTCAGTTGAACATTCCGTTGAATTCTGAACACAGCTTGACATTCATCTGCCAGAAAAGACCCAGGTGACCACAGCTGCCTTGCCTCCTCTCCCACATTCAGCATGATGACTTTTTTTTTTAATTGCAATAGTCCAACAGTACCTGAAAAATAATAAGTGATAATACTCTAGGAAAAGAAAGAATTGATTGAAAAGGAGCATCGCTATTTCCTTCTTCTTACTCTTACTTTGCCTACCTACTCTGAGCCCAGCCTCCACCTTTCTGACCTAGACTTTTTCATTTCCTCTTTGCTCACTAGGCTCTGGCTGTTATTGCCTCCCCTTTCCCGTTCTCCCTCACCTCCCTACACCCACCCTCTCCACCCTACCCCTTTCTTCCCAAACCCTAGAACTAACCAGTCACTCCTGTCAGTTTCTACACTAGCTAGTCCCTGAATCTGGAAGGCTCCTCCTCTATACCTGCATGGCTGGCTTCTTTTTATTTAAAACTCAACTTAAGTGTTACCTCCTCAAAAAGGGCTTCCTTGACTGCATCCCAATCAGACATTTGCTGTCACATCACTTTTTCTTCAGCATTTACCAAAATCTGATTTATATGCTTATTTCTTCTGTCCCCACATACTCTGGTGTAAGCTCTATGAGAGCTCAGACCTTACGCTTGCATGCAACTTCGTCCACCCAGAGCCCAAAATAATGGCTAGCACTTATTAGCTGGTCAATAATGCTTGTTGCATGAATGAATTTTGGACTTTTTATTCAATGAGTCCAAATCAATTAAGGTGAGAGCAGTAGTCATTCTTCTCTTTTGTTACAGTTGTGTGAAACCTCTAAACATGCTGTTACTTGCACAATCAAATCATTAAATATTGTTTTATCAGGCCTGAAAGCCCTGCTGAGTAGGATGGGATCCATTATAATTCTTCTAGCAACACACATAAACTCAGTTATAGAGGGCCAGAATTTAGGGACACGCTCTAATCAAAGGATCCCTAAAATTCAGGCACTATCTCTTAAAGTTCTTCAGAAAACACAGTTCCACATTCAACAGATGACTTCCAAAGAAAACATCAATACCAAAATAGGAATCATTACATTTCACTCTAAAATTCCTACAACAAGCTAAAAGAGCACTACTTGATTTTTTTTTAAACCAACAGAATATCAGTAAAGAGATCTTTCTAATCATTCTCTGCTTTCTTCAAATAATTTTTCTGTTATTGGTTTATATTCTTTTTTAAAACAAAACAGATCACATTTTCTCATTTAAGCCCATCTATACACAATCAGCTAAAGAGACAGAAATCAGCACAAGCCAAATGTGTCACTGAAGACTTGTGTGCCCCACACACAAACAGAGAAAGAGATAAAAGAGCTATTGTCCAATTGCAGAAACAAAAAGTAATATGGGGTTTTCTGTTCTCTGAAGTGCATCATGAAGTGTGGGTGGAGAGAAACACAGAAATCCAGAATTAGCCTAACATCAAATCATTTTGGAAAGAGTTGACAACATGTAAATTCCTCACACATAAAGTATTTAGAACAAGAGACTTTGATTCCTGGGCTATGATGCCATTTAGGAATCCCTGCAAGGGCTTTGGAATTCCAGTATTCATAAGAGAAAATGCTCATCTTAATTTGGAGCTACCAAGCATTGAGAGGTACTCCCAATGTGACAGAGCCTGTAACTGAAGTATTACAAAGCTTGCAGTAAGATCTGGGAAAGAGGCTGAACACCAAATTCAAAAGAGGTAACCAAGGTACCAAGTGCCATAAAGGAAAAACAAAAACAAAAACAAAAAACACCATGATTACCACCTAGCCATGGAGATCTGAGGTGGAAACGAGGGGTGTATATGGGGGAAGGTAAGGGGTGAAGGAGAATGGAAAAAAAAATACATTTGTCACCCCGTCCCACTTCCTATACAGGATACAGGCAAAGCTTCCAGCCCCATTACCTCAGGCACAGATGGTTATCGTTTATAGCAAAGGTGCACAGAAAGGCCTTCAGGTTTGAGCCCCTTAATTCCAAGGCTGTTAATGATTAAAGAGAAAGATGGGGGTGGGGAGGAAAACGAGGGAGGAGGGCGCTGGAGATTCACCCACCACCTCCCGCTTGGACTCCTACCTCACAGCGCTTACCCGGGCCAGAGGACCAGAGCCTGCGACCCTCGCCAGGGCAGCTCCAGCCCCTAGATTCCCAGGCCTGGGGTGAGGGGTGCTGGCGGTGAGGAGGCAGGGACAGTAGGTAAGTTTTCTTGAGCCCTGAGGCTGACACGCCACAGGCTCCCCTCACAGCCTCTTCTTCCAAAGGCACCAGTCCAGACAAGGAGCTGATTTCCACTCCTCCCCTTCCACCCCCTTTTTCTCGAAGGTACCCAACCCCCGCCCCTTCATCTCTCAATGCTCCCCGCTTTTCCTCAACCCCCCCCCAAACTCACAGCTGCTCCAGAGGTTCCTCCAGTCAAACCCTTTCTGGAAACGACGGCGGCCCGGCGGGTCCAAACCACCTACCATCCCCGCTCGCGTTTCCAGGCTCCCTACCCGCGCCGCCGCCGCCTCTTCTTCCACCACTGCCGCCGCCTCCTCTTCATCTGCGGCCCACCGGCGGCGGCCGCCCCCAAGCCCCGCCCCCTCCATCGCCTCCTGCATCATCACTTCCGGTAACCCCGCAGGCCGCCCGCTCCAGGAGGGAGAATAGAAGAGGGGCGGGGAGGAATGGGTGGAAGATTGCGTCACGACGTACGCAAAGACGTACGAAGCCGTCGCCAAGTAAGGGCAAAGACCTCGGGACGCTGAGGGAGGGCTAGGAGGAGCTGGACTGGACCATTTTTTTAGGGGGGCTGGAGTAGGGGGATAGGATAACGAAAAGAGTAAAGGGAAACTAGGGAGAGGATGAAGTTGGCTATATTGTTGCGTATACGGCGGAAGGTGGGTTAGAGTATAAAGTTTCAGAGAAACTCGAGACTACCTTTGACCTGAAACTAATGCTCCCACAGATATCCTCCCGGTGGTTTAGTCCGGCCTGGCCTACCGGACCTGCCCGACGGTCGTCGGCCGCGGCTCAGCTAAGCTCCCGACACCGCCTCCTCCTGGCCCGCGGTAGGCTGCGGCACTTCTGTGGGTGGGGGAAGGCGGGACTGACGCAGAGTGAGTGTAGGGGATGGAGGCGCTGACTCCAGGCGCGGGAGACTGGGGGAAGGGGTTGGCTCCCCAGGGCAGGGATGGGGTGGGGGCGGGGGTGCGACGTTGCTAGGCGACGTGCTTGTGTGACCCCAGCCTCGCGAGGGCGGCTCGGTGTCATCGCCACTGGCCTTGGGAACCTGCCGAGGGAAAGCGGCCTGAGGGCCAGGAAGCGGAGGCCTGTTGTGGCGACGCTGAGATGCCCGTTGGGTCCATCGGAGACTTTCCTGTGTCCTTTGGATCCCTGAATATAAATGGGAGGTTAGTAAGGGCAGTTCCGGGAGCGAGAGGCTTCAGGCCGAGGAAAGTTGACTCAAAAGAGGCCCGGTAGAGGCTACAGAGACTTTCTAGGATAGTGTGAACGGGCTTATTTCCTCGGTCCACAAACAAGAGCAAGACGGAGGCTTTGCTCCGTGTCTTTTTATTCGAGTCCAGAAGAAAATTAAAATGTAAATCAGTAAGGATATGATTTCAGCAAAGTGAGATATCAGCAGGTGCCCCATGTCCCCGAAAACCATAATGCCGGGTGAAGGGGTAGAAGATGGAAGGAGGGTCAGTAACTCGGGTAAGGCTTTTCAGACAAGGCCAGTTTTCGTAGAGATGCGAGAAAAGGGAGAAGCTAGGGAATGGACTTTCTAGGTGGAGAAAAGAACCAACGGGAAGGGTTCTGAGGAAGGAAACGGTGGGAAAGCCAGGTGGCTGGAACTGGAAAGAACAAGGGCCAGAGTGGTCTGTGATGGAGAAATGGCAGGGCCTGGTCAAGCATAGCATTTTAGCCCAAGGTAAGGGTTTGGCTGTTACATTACCTGAGGGTTTTGAGAAGGGCAGTCACCTGATTTACATTTTTTAAAAATCCCTTGCCTGCTAGATAGAGAAGGGTAGCCATTGGCAAACCTATTAGGAGGCTGCTACAGTAGGCCAAGGGAGAGATGGGTAGTGGCAGTGGAAATGCAAATAATTAAATTCATAATGCATTTTGAAAGTATTGCTTGCAAGACTTGCTGCCGGATTGGATGTGAAGTGTATGGGAAGAGGAGGAACCAAGGATGACTCCTAAGGGAAAACAGTTTGGGAGGGAATATCCTACATTCTCTTTGAAACATACTAGATTGCTAAGTCTATTAACCATCCAGGTGAATTTGTCGAGAAGTTAGATATACAAGTCAGGGGGGGCAGTCCCTAGAGAAAATAAATAGAGGGGTTTTAGAGGCTACCCAGAGAAGAGAAGCCAGCAGAGACCGCTGACACAGATAAGGCCTCAGAGATAAAAGAAGTCTCCCTTAATATCCCACAATAGTGAGACACACTCTCATAATCAGTGAGACTTACCACCCAGTAGCCAGCTTCTGCTCATCCTCTAAGCCCTGGGTCAAATCCCTTCCTTCCCTTCCACTCCAGCTGTCAGTGCTTTTGGACTTATGCGCAGGTGATTTGTGTCCATTACAGCAAGCCTGACTTTGCTTGTTAATTGTTCATATGTCTGACTCCCCATGGGCTAGTTCTTCTTTGTGTCCTGCTGGCTCCTAATAACAGAGCTTTGCCCATAGGGCCAACTATATGATTATAGCTAGGTAGGGACACTATTCATAAGATACTAGTCATGGACTTCAACAGTTCTGACAAAGGGGCTTTTGTCCCACTGCTGCTGCCACTGCCAACTACGATGCAGATATGGTTAATCTCATAAAATCTAGAAAAGAGATCAGAAGAAGTTTCAGAAGGCCTGGGTTTCAGTCTTGTATCTGCTGCTGACCAGCAGTGATACTGGATAAGGTCTTTTTCTTTGAGCTGGAGGGGTTGGCCTAAATTAGAGATTAGAGATATTGCATGCAAACATATTGTTCATCCCACAAAATGATTTAAATTTAAATTCTTTTTAAAATTTACTTACCAACATTTAAAAATTGGACATCAAAATTCAGATTTTCAGCTTCATTTGAAAAATGAGACAATCTGGCAAAACTAGCCTGAGGTTTCTACATTGCAATAGTCAGCTAAAGCCTGTAAGCTTCTCCTCTTCACCATCTTTATTACCTTCCTCTTCTTCAACTATCTGTCTGACCCGTGGGCATCTGACTGGCAATTCTTGGCATAGGGATGTGCTGTTCTAAATAGCCATTAGCTAGCTACATGTAGCTATTTATTTGTTTTTTTACATGTAGCTATTTAAATAAAAATTTAAATGCCAGGTCCTTCCTCAGTTGCAGTAACCATATTTCAAGTGCTTAGTAGCCACATGTGGCCAGTGGCTAGCTACCCTGTTGAACAGCGCAGTTATAGAATATTTCCGTCATTGAAATACATTGTGTTGGCCAGCGCTAGAGTGGAGGAGCTTCAGGGTACTCCAGGTGCCAGGTGTTGCACATATGTAAGAATGGGCAGTCATTGCTCCTACTCTCAAGGAATTTTATCTAGTAAGGAGCTCCGTCGCCTCTGCAGATGGAAAAGTTGCTTATCTGGTAGTTAGAGGGTACTTAGAAACTCTTCCGAGGGCAGAGACCCCCAACTCAAGCAAGGTGAGGTTATTCATCAGATGGTTGGATCAAGGGTCAGATGCTAGAAAGCTCCAGCTGTATCTAATGTTCTAACCAAAACTCTTGTCGGTTTTCTAATCAATTTCCCTAGGAAATTATCACTAAGGAGGGATTTAAATGTTAATTTAAACCTAAGTGTTTCTTGTTCTGGACTTCCCCAGTTCCTATAAAGGGGTGAAATCCTGGGTAGCTATGAATGAATGACTGGGGTTGATTTTTAGCATTGACCTAGTTTTCATCTATTTCCAGCACACACACACCCCCACACATGTCTAACACCTCCTCCTACTTCTGGTAACTAGTTCTCACTACCTCTGACTGACCCTTCCTTTGTCTTTGTCTCTTAAAATATGCAGATAAGGAAATACTTGCATTTCTTTTGAATTGGGGGTCCAAAACTTGGTTTCCATTTAGAATTTGTCTCCAAGGGGAAAAAGAGCTTATCTCTCTTGGTTACAAAAGCCTGTTGGAGTTCCCCTTACAAGTATAATCTTGCATGTGCTCCTATGCTGGTATATTTAGAATGAGCATACTTGCCTCCTATGATCTTGTTTGGGATAATTTAGAAGTCTTTCAGACATCAGTATTTTTGGTTTTTCCTTGTGGTCTGGAGATTTCCCATTTACAGGACCTAACCTAATTTCCTTTCCTTTAAGTAAAATGAAACCACGATCCACCTTCTCCCTGCCTCCTATCTCTGACACACCATATTGTCACTTTCTGTGTAGAAAGATGCTGTTTCAGAGAATAGCTGTGGTATGATTAAGTACACCACACAAGCATATCCTGAGATTTGCAAAACAATGTGTGGCTTTAAACTTCCCTTTTTGGATTCTAGTAACCAAAAACTGAGCCCAGGACAGGAAACGAGTCCATTGGGTGTGTCTGTGACTGTCTGTCTATTAATGAAGAGGAGAGAGGATACAGGAGAGAGATGTGTGGAGCACCGATTATGCTGAAGGTTATTCGATTTGGGTAAGGATGGTACCGTATAGGGTATGGGTGTACACCAGAAAGTAGGATATATAACAGATGTAGGAGAAAAACACACAAAAGGATAAGCAAGGAGTAAGAGATAAAGGGAAAAAAAAATAGGAAGGGAAGTCTGGGCATGCTTTCGATGTTGGCACCTGCATTATATTTCCAGTAAGAAGTACGTGCTGTGGTCTGAAGATAAGCGGTGCCTCTGACAGGGTTATTTACTCATACTGAAGAACAATAGCCCTTTACTGTACAGGGATTATTAATGATCAGAGGGAAACAGCTTTAGGAAAATCCATTACTATCACAAAGCAATAAATTCGCCAACAGGCCTCGTGCTTCTTTGCCCTCCTCTGCAGACAAAGCTTAGCTTGAATAAAAGAGGCCTCATGGTTTCTTCTTTATTTCCTCCTATTCAGGTAACTTTTGCCTTTGTTAGCTCCTAATGCTAAGTGATTACATGGATTACCTCATGAATAATCCTTATCACCACTCTTTGAAGAGGGTTCTGTTGTTACCCTTTTTCATTTTTTAAGAAACTGAGGCTCAGAAAGACTTGACCAACATAGTCAGAATTCAAACCCTGAACATTCCAGAACCCATTTGCTCATTAGTTGCATCGTATCTTCTGTTCCTTGCCTATGTGGAAAAACTCTGAATGCCTAAAACCAAGACAGTCATTCTCTATTCTGCTTTCCGGGGCAAGAAAAACTGGTTTGGCATTATGAGAGCATTTCAGTTCCCTAGAGGTTTTCCAAATTTCAGAAGCTTTAAATTACAATTTTGTAGGTTTGGGTGATAATTTGGGTGCAATGGATCTATTCCCCAGAAGAATTTTTTTTCCAAGAAAAAAATGTGTCAGAACCACATTTTTCTATATGTTTGGTTCTAAGCTTCATGGAAATACAGTAAATCATTTCAGTTCCGTGCACCAACCATTACTGGCTTTTAAAGAATTTAACTGTGTATCTCATACTGCCTTAGATGGAACTGAGAAGGCCTCCTCCCCAAATAACAGTCTTAAGTTCCTCATCCTGACCCCCATAGCACCACTCTTTTTTTTTTTTTTTAAGATTTTGTTTATTTATTTGACAGACCGAGATCACAAGTAGGCAGAGAGGCAGGCAGAGAGAGATGGGGAAGCAGGCTCCCTGCTGAGCAGAGAGCTCGCTGTGGGGCTCAATGACCCTGGGATCATGACTGAGCTGAAGGCAGAGGCTTTAACCCACTGAGCCACCCAGGAGCCCCGATAGCACCACTCTTGAAAACATCTTTGTGTGGGTTACTTAGTATTTTTAAATAGTGGTCCAAATTACCACCACGTATGATAATGAGTGTTACTGGTGACTATTCTGTGTGTGTAAATTTATTCTTCTAATAAGTATATTTCAAGCTCCAACTTTGTACCAGGCCTGTGAGTGTGATGAATGAGGCACAGTGCTAACCTTCTAATTTATCCTTCCCCCAAACACACATAGTGGAGGAAGAAAGGTAAGCCAAACAGAAATTTAGGATAGAATAGGATGAGCAGTATGACACAAGTGTGCTGGAGGTGCCTGCCCATTTCAGCATGAAGGAGGCACCCTGCAAAAACTAGGGGAAGTTCAAGGATAAGAATCAGTAGCTAGGCAAAGAAAGAACATTTCAGCTCTGTGAATTTGGACCTTCGTGTGACAAAGACAAGGGGTGTTAGATCTAAGGAGATGGGACAGCAGGGAGAGGGACAGGCCAGCGTGGGTGCCCAGTGAACACCTAAGACAGTGATGTCATTCAGGTGTTTCACTATCTCTACCACCCCCACCCACCCAGCCGATCATAAAGTAGTTGGGAGAGAAATTTAACTATATCACATTCATTATGAGAAGAAAAAAAAAAAAAAATTCCACCTTGGAGCAGATACTGAAAGAATGGAAGGAGCCTTTCCTTCAACCTGGGGCTTGAAAGGCAGTTAATTCCCATTGCCTTTTCTGTCCCTTGTTTATACTGTAACACTTTTTCTTAAGTAGAAGGCAAAGCCTCATGAGAGTCCAACACTGGGAATTTTGACATTCCTGAGACCAGAGTCATACTTCTATAAATTTCATCTGGAGAAGGAATTTTCAAAGTCTCTGCTCTTCAACTCCTCAGTGTTCATGCTGTGATGGTCTTTTCAAAGGTGGGGAAAAGGGTGAAATGGGTCAATCCCCTAATACTAGCATATCTTCGCATAAGCCTCCTGTAACACTAAATCTGGACATGCCACGTGCCTACATGTGCTGTGTAGAGTGGGTTCTTGGAGCCTACCCAGACCTTTCACTATTTCCACTTACCATAGAGTAGAAGGGTGTGTAGGTGGTGTGTTTTGTTTTGTTTTGTTTTGTTTTAGATTGATTATTTCCCCATTACTCCAAAATAAAAATGGGAAAGATTTTGGTCAAGGAAATAATCATGTACCTTTATTGGCTCTTAATGCCAACTCTCCTGTCAATTAGATGGCATTAGGCAAGACTTTTTTTTCACCATATGCAAGATACAGTTTGAAATCCAGCACATTTTAAAAGATTTAAATTAGACCATAGTACTCCAGCTTGCTTAAAATCTGCCAGTGTCTTCCTTTTGTTTTTATACTACAAACCAAACTCTTTTCCAGGACCTACCCTCCCCACCTGTGCTGGATTCTGCTCACCTGTGGCCTCACCTCCCAGACAGGTTCTGGCTGCACTGATGTTTTAATCTGATAGCCTTTGTTGGTTCCCACAAATCTTGCCGAAGCACCTTTCCCTCAACCCTTCCCTTTAATAGGCTCCTTCGTGTTACTCAGGACTCAAATGCCACTAACTACCCAAAATAAAATAACCCTGCCCCTGTTCATTTGTTCATCATATTACTGTTTCATTCCTAGAGGGCACATACCTCCACCAGAAATTGTCTTTTTCTTGTGTCTCGTCTTCTCTGCCACTAGAACGTAAGCTTCAGAAGGGAAGGGACCATAGCTGCTTGATTTTAAGATTGTTTATCCCTAGAATCTCCTGTGCCTAGTCCCAGTGGGTACTGATGGATGGATGCTTGGGAGGGACCAGTCAGGCCTGCAGAGTGGGAGCACTGTAATGAGCCCTGGTGCCTCTTCTATGATGTTAGCTCCCTGTGGAGTGTCAGGGAACCAAAGAGCATTGCAGTCCCGCCAAGGGCACAGCTTCCTTCAAAGGAGCTGATGTGCAGGGACGCCTGGGTGGCTCAGTGGGTTAAGCTTCTGCCTTCGGCTCGGGTCGTGATCTCGGGGTCCTGGGATCGAGTCCCGCGTCGGGCTCTCTGCTCAGCAGGGAGCCTGCTTCCCCTTCTCTCTCTCTGCCTGCCTCTCTGCCTACTTGTGATTTCTGTCTGTCAAATAAATAAATAAAATCTTTAAAAAAAAAAACAAAAAACAAAGGAGCTGATGTGCAACATAATTATCACGGACAGGCAGCTGCCTCAGAGGAAGAAGGGCTGAGCCCGCCAGGCGCCCCCTGGCCCCACTCTTAACAGCTAATGTGACCCTGGACTAGTTACTTACCTCTCTGCATCAGGTTCCTCCTTTATAAAGGAGATAATGGTAGTCATCTACCTTAAAGAACTGTGATGATTTCAGGAGTTAACATGTAAAGCACCTAGCAAAGCCTCTTGGCACAGAGTAGGTACAAAGCAAAATGTTGTATTATTATCACTATTCTAATGAGCAAAACAGGCCAAGCCCTCCAGGAATTCAGAGACTGGAGAAGAAGACACAATGAAAGTGCAAAATAGTAATGGTTGGCTGTGATAATAGCAGAGAAAAAGGTTCCCCCAGAAAAGCTTGAGAGCCAATAGGTGTCTACTAAGGGCAGTGGGGTGGCTAGCAGAAAATAGGCGTTTTACTGGGATGGCTCAGCCAGAATAAACACCAAGGCAGGGCAGCCGAGTGCCTTAGAGCAATAGCTTTGAAACTTCTGTTTTTCAGCCTCTCTATCTCAATTTATAGTATTAATTACTCATATTTTAAACCAGCTTTAAAAACTTTTGTAATACATTTATTTAAAGGAAGCTCTATATTGCTATATCAAGATCGCTTTAAATTATGGGTTTGATGGACTATAGAATACATTAACAGAATTACTATAGGAAGATATTTGTACATCCAAAAAAAAAAAATCACCTTCCTAACCAATCTTTGGGACACCTGCTGTAGGGGTAACATCTCATAACTGACCAGAAGCCAAAAATATGCTAGCAGCAACATTTGTCAGTCTTTGCTTAGTGGCACAGGCTGCAGTTGGCAGATGCTTGTTAGTGAATTTTATCTTGGTACTGTGTTTATATGGGGGGTGATTTTAAGAAAAGACCAGTTTTCAGTCCCATTTCCTCCCAGGGACACTGCATATCTCTTACCTTTCCTCATTCTGGGGTTTTGCGGTTAAGAAAGTAAAATGAAACAGTTTGATGAAATGTTAATCTCAGAATAAAAGTTACAAAACTTTAAGAATTCTTTAATAGTTGACTTCGTGGGGCACCTAGGTGACTCCATTGGTTAAGTGTCTGACTTGGGCTTAGGTCATGATCTTAGGGTCGTGGGATCGAGCCCAGTGTCAGTCTCCCCATTCAGCAGAGATCCTGCTTGTCTCTCTCCCCCTGCCTCTTCTCCTGCTTGTTCTCGCTCTCTCTTTTTAACTCAAATGAATAAATGAAGTCTTAAAAAAAAAAAAAAAGGGAATCAACGAATGGCAACTTGAGACTGTGGGTCAGATGTAGTCCTCTAGGGGTGCCTGGGTGGCTCAGTCAGTGAGGCATGTGACTCTCGATGTAGGGGTTGTGAATTCGAACACCACATTGGGTATAGAAATTACTTAAAAATAAAATCTTAAAAAAAAAAAAAAAGGTGGTCCTCTAGACAGTTTGATATTCTTCATGTTGCCTGTGGGAAAATCCCAGCAGACCTCATTGCATCAGATCAACCCTTGAGATTAGTGAAGAAAAGGGGCTGCCTCAGCTTTGCGCCAGTAGTGAGAGATCATTGATAGTTTCAAAAGCATAAATGTTGATTTCAAGCCATTAAATCTATTGGAAGGAAAACTCAGGGAAAAGGCACTTTCTCTGAACAGTCTGGTTCCTAGGAACAAAGACAAAAATATAAACCAAAGGAAAAAGAGCTTAAAAAAATTTTATATGGTCAGTTTTGTTTCTAGAATCCCAAGCTTTCTGTATCATTAGATATTTTCATTTATTCAGCAAATGTTTGTTGAATACCAGTTATACGCCTGGCTAGGTACTCAGCTAGTACAGCTAGGTACTCAGAATTGAGCAGTAAATTGAGCAGTAAATAGGCTAGGTACTCAGCTAGTACAGCTAGGTACTCAGCTAGTACAGCTAGGTACTCAGAATTGAGCAGTAAATAGGATGGACATGGTTACTGTCCCCATAAACATGAGATTCAATAGGGGGAAGACAGACACTAACAATCCATTATTACTTAAATGATTAGTACTACAAAGAAGAAATTCAAGGATCCACAGGAAGGTTCAACAGAGACCTGATCCAGTGCATGTGGTGAGGGGTGAGGGGAGGGTTTTCGGAGACATCCATGTTTGGGGAACTGAAGGATGAGTAGGGATTGGTCAGGTAAAAGGGAGGAGGAGGTCAGGAGAGAGCCTTCTAGAAAGGGGGAACAACATGGTTATGCACCCGTGAAGTAAGAAGAACAAGATTCCCTCAAAGAACTGAAAGAAATCCAATAAGAAAATAACAAAAGAGGCATTTTTCTTGTCTTTTCTCTGAAGACTTGAAGTGTTATTAAGCTAGGCTAATAGTACACAATGGGGAAGACAGCTTTAGACCCTTGTCTCTGGACATCTTTGGGACTTGGGTTTTCTGGGTCACCTGATGTTGGAGAAGGAGACTTATCTCCTTTCAGGATTAGTTTTCAGAACATTTAAAACATTAATTAAAGTGTTTTGAAAATAGTCCTATTAAGTACCAATTGTTAGTACTACTCTTACCTTGAGTACTCTAATTGCAGGGCTTGTATATCTGATTGTGGTGTATGATCAGTTACAGTTTGAAGCTGTGGTTCTTTGGAGTCGTGGGAGGAAACCAATGAAAGTCAGGCTTTGGAGACAATTGCTGCTATTTTAATATGCCCAACCTCCTTCACTTTCCTCAAGTGTCATGCAGTCAGGGAAGTTTCATCTGTTAATGACAGGGAAGTGAAGCAATCATTAATAGAAGTTACAGAATCCCTGCTCCTCACAGGAACTGACTCACGTATTTTCATATGAAACCATGGAGTTTTAGGGAGAACCAGAAACTCAGAAACCTGTTTCCTTACCAGGAAAAGTCATCATCTCATCATCTCGATTTTTATTACGACTAGCCACAAAGCATGATATTCTCTCTTGGTTTTTACAAATTTCTTCTAAGCATTTTTTTGGGAGACATCATGGACGTCAGAATCGGTATTGATTGTAATTTTCACTTTTAACTTTTGAATTGGGTGAAGTAGTGCTTTCAAGCTTTTCAGCAAATGATTAAGCCGTGATTCATTCTGCGTTGCTCAAGAAAGATCACCAGGGTCAGGAAGGGCAATCATATAGTAATTCTTGTAAGGTAAATTCCTTGCAGGTACTTAGAATTTCTGTCTAGATAAATATACCTCTTTCCAGCTTCCATCTGCATTATTCAGCTGCCTAAGTTCTCATAAGCTCAGGACCATCCTAAAGCATATAATCTCCACATGTTACCCCTCCCCCTTGGGTTGGAAATGGGTTCTGTTCCAAACGGCTTACTTCCTGATTCCGATGAGCCTGTTTGAGGAAAGCCCAGTACTCATAATGAGGTGTCCCAGTGCCTGGCCCTTTTACTCACTTACCAAATCTGTCCTTGTCTTCCCAGCCTACCCATTTGTTAAAGGCAGTACAGTATTCATTCTCTAAAATCTGACTAATCAGGATCTTCTAATAGTGGGAATTTTTTTTTCTGTCTTCTTCTAGATGTAGAAGTAAATTATAAAACAGGCTGAAGTTTTTGCATGAGTAAAAAGGAGGAGAAAAGACAAGTATACTGGGATATCTTCATAACAGTGGACTGAATTACAGTGTTGAGAATATATGAACTGGAGCTACATGTAACAACCTAGATGAACATGGGCAAAAAAAAGCAAGTTGCCGAAGAACATAATACCTTAGAGAGAGAGTTGACCCTTGAACAACATGGGTTTGAACTACACAGGTCTACCTGTGTATAAACAGGTTTATCTGTTTATAAACAGATTTCTTTTGATAAATACAGAACAGCACTGTAAATGTATTTTTTCTTTCTCATGATTTTCTTTTTCTTTTCTTTTTTTTTTTTTTAAGATTTTATTTACTTATTTATTTAACAGAGAGAGACAGAGTGAGAGGGAACACAAGCAGAGAGACAGAGAGGAGAAGCAGGCTTCCCACCTAGCGGAGAGCCCAATGCAGGGGTCATGATACAGAAACCTGAGCCGAAGGCAGACACTAAACGACTGAGCCACCCAGGTGCCCCTCTTCCTCGTGATTTTCTTAATAACATTTTCCTTTCTCTCTGTTACTACATTATAAGAATATAGCATATAATACATATACATACATATGTGTTCATTGACTGCTTAGGTATTCCTAAGGCTTCATATCAACAGTAGGCGATCAGTAAAGCTTTTGGGGAGTCACAAGTCAAATCACAGATTTTTGACTGCGTGGAGGTCAGTGCTCCTAAGTCCCATCTTGTTCAAGGGTCAAGGGTATAAGAGTTGTAAACTTGCTAAGCAATACTGTATAATGTTAAATGTAAAGCTATCTGTGAGAAGATAAATAACAAGTTCAGGATAATGGTTCATTCTAGGAGAGGGGAAGGGAAATTTGACTAGAAGGGGGTATATACAAGTATATATGTAATGTATTCTTTAAGATCCACTGTGAATATATGGCTATTAGTTCTCTATATCTTTTTGCATACCTGAAATATTTCATAATAAAAATAAAGCTGACAAATTTAATTTTTTTTTCAGGAATTATTCTTTAAAAATGCAATTAGCATTGGGGGATATACTTAGTTTGGAACTCACTTAGCCAAGTCTTCTGAAGTTAAAACTAATGTTTCAGAGTAAAAACCCAAAGAGGCCGCAAGCTCTTCAGTCACCAGAAAGATTTTCAGTTGTACTTACTATATGGTTCTTATGTGAATGAGGAAGCAGACCAGCAATTTTGAGAGAGATTTTCAGTAAGGTTACGATGAACTAAAAGAGAGATTACAACCTGGCAGCCTCTGGGTAGAATAGAGCCTGTAGACCCATTTTGTTTGGCCTTCATTGTACAAAAACTTTCAAAAAAGAACAAAATAATGTCTTTTTTTTGAGATTTCATATTCTAAAAATCTGAATTGCTACCTATTGTTAAAGTATCAGGAAATCTGGTATCCCTAGGCCCTCATTTCTTTTTTTTTTTTTTTAAGATTTTATTTATTATTTTAGAGGGTAGGGGGAGAGGGAGAGAGAGAATCCCAAGCAAACTCCGCACTGAGTGCAGAGCCTCACGCAGGGCTCGAACCCACAACCCTTAGATCATGACCCAAGCGGAATCAAGATTCAGATGCCCAACCAACTGAGCCAATTAACATCCTCTCCATTTGGCCACTGTCCCCACCCAACCAGATTCCCTCATTAGGCCCTAGAGGTGCTTGAGTTTTCAACCCCTGCATGCAAGTCAAGTTACTTAACTAGAAAATTTAATTTTTTGAAATGTGCCTTTTCCAGGTCCTCTGGTGAGTGCTGTAGTTTTACAAAAATACACACAAAAAGCATCAGACCTAATATAGTCTGGTAAAGAATTTACTGCTTTAAGGTATAGCACATTTGAATTTTGGTTTACTGTGTTTGTACAAATGGCAGTCATGGCATTTGTATATGCCATGTATTTCATGTATATACAAGGGATGATATACAAGGACAGCTGAGAGATCGCTGGTATTCCTACAGCACCGTTCTGGCAGTGCTACCAAACAGATCTGTTGAGAAAGAGCAATTATTTCTAGACTAATTAAAGGGCTTGATTAAAAAAAGGTACATCTGCCTAGCTGCCTACTGTCAAATTGAATTTTCATGCAAATTTACCCTCTTCTATTTTGGTGGGTCTGAGGATGACAACAGCAACACGACAAGAAGTTCTTGGCCTCTACCGCAGAATTTTCAGGCTTGCGAGGAAATGGCAGGCGGCATCAGGGCAGATGGAAGACACCATTAAAGAAAAACAGTACATATTAAATGAAGCCAGAACACTGTTCCAGAAAAACAAAAATGTAAGTAGGTCCCAACTGGAGATTGTAAGGAGGAGGGCAGTTTCTTGGGATGTTTTTTCTTTTTCATCTGAAAACTGAGGGACTGAGCTGTACAGGTCACAGTGGCAGTGTATGGGGCTGGAAGGGCGCAGAGGCACAGCCCAGCTAGCTTGCTCAACGACTGGGAAGCAGAGCCCAGCCTGGATTTCTCTCTCCATTTGTTTCAGGTCTCAGTGCAGTCCGTAAGTGGCTCAGCGTCCTCAGAAGACCCCATGAGCCAGGTGACACAAGCCAGGCCAGGGAGGGTGTTCGGGGGAGGAGCGGTTCCTTGCCCACTGTGCCTCTTACCACCCCCTCCCACAGGAGGTGTGCAGTTAAACTTTTTTGTTTCCAGTTCATAAACTATTCAAGGCCTCCAAATATAAATCCATTCAGAGGGAAGAGAATAGGATTAAGACACAGGGTTCCCTTCATAACTTCACTTTGAACTCGAGCCTCTTTGGCTAGCAGACTGAGTTTGCCCTTTGGGACCACAGAATTGGGTAAGATAGTGCCTCCATTAGCTACTTTAATGGAACTGCCCACCCAGACACCAGGGAGCCAAAGACCATCTGTAAGAGGCTTGATTTGACCCATCCCAACCAACTATAAAGCATTAGCTGTTAGCGCCTTATGAAGACTGCCTGGCACTGAGCATGGAAAGAGACTTTCAGCTTCTGACTTTTCCTGCCTCCTTCTTATTGATCTCCCAGTCAATGCTGTCACTGTTCCCCTCATGAAATCTCCTAACAATCTATTCTCTTTTCCCTCTCTGACCCCCATTTCTCTATCCTTTTTGGCTCTGTCTTCTCCACACACCCTCTGGCCGGCTGTAAGGATCTCCTGAAGGTCAGCCCTCTGCGCTGAGGCCCAGGGATCATGCAGCCACTTTCTGGTTCCAGCTCCCATATCTGAATACCCAGCCTCAGCCTCTCACCAGCCACCTGAAGGAGCTCACGACAGGCATGATGACCCAAAGCAGAACTCCTCCTTCCACAAGGACACCTCCCTCTTCCAGTTTGCCTATTTCTGCTCTAGCTCCTGTGGCCACTCTGCAACTGTTTGCTCTCATTCTCTCAGTCAGCAAGTGTTGGGAGTGCCCATCCTGTGCCAAACACTGGACTAGACATGGAGGATATAAAATGAGTGAAACCAAGACAGGATCCCTCAAAGATGTTTCAGAGTTAGATGGCAAGCAGTGTAAAATTGCAATTGGGGTAAGCACTACAAAAGAAACCCTCCCACCCTACAGTACCTTCTCTTTCTCAGAAGCCCTGAGGCCTCCCTGCTTCATAAAACCAACCTGCTTATAAAGCTTATCTCTGCCTTTCTGACCTCCAGCTTCTCCGACTTTTTGTGCCACACACCAGAGTGTATTGAAAATGTCTGTTCTGTGTTTTTTTATGAGCTTATGGGTACACTTAATTAATTTATTAGTATATTATAAGTCAATATAAGTGCATTTAGTGGGAGCCATGAGCTCAGAAACGTTTTACTGAAAGGAGTAGATAATCAAAAAGTTGGAAATAAAGAGCATGGGGTTCAAAAAAAAAAAAAAAAAAGTTGGGAGACCACTAATCTGTGCCTACACCTGAGGAGCTGGTCATCCTCTTTTCTTGTTTCATTTCTGTTGCTGTGGTCTCCTCAACCAGATTGTCGGTTCCTCGAACACACAGTGTCTTATACTTTCTTATATATCCTGTGGGACCTGCCTTGTGGTTGTCACTAAATTCATGAGCATTTACAAATACTTTGGCTTGACTACCTTCTCCAGGAAGTCTTCCTCAACTTCTCTACCTTCACTCAGCCCCCAGCAGAAATCTGTTCTGAATTCCTATGTAGCCGTTTACAGTAGTCACCCTGTTGATGACATGCCTCTGTGCCTTTTCTGGAGCTTCATGCATCAGAGTTGTTCTGCCCAGGTAGTAACCTTGATAGTTGAAGGCAGGGGCCATGGCCTCTGTGTCTAGCTCAGTGCTGGAGATACCACAGCAGGATGGGCCCAGTAAACCTTTTCAGGCTGACTCATGTGAGGACTGCTCAAGACCCTTGGGTTTTCAGTTACAGCAGTAATCAGTCCTTCCTTTGCCTCTGCTTGAATTGGCCCGGTGTGGTGTGAGCCAGACGGAAGTGTATGTGCCAGTGATGCTACGTGAATGAGATTATTTTGTATGCCTGGGAAGGAGATATATGGGTTTTTAAGATATGTACTTGTTTTGCCGTGTATTAGAAAGAAAATAGAATATCAGGTAATTTTACAGATACTATGCTTAGGAGGCAGTACCTTTATTTATTTATTTTTGAGAAAGTGCATTTAAAGAAAAAGTTTAATATTAGTATAAATGGTGTGTGGATATAGCAGAATCATGAAGGCAGACTCTGAACGACTGAATCTGGAGAACCCTAACCCCGACTTGTTCAGAAGGACAGCTGGAGTCCCAGGATCTCTCAGCCCCCATAACCATACATATCTTTATCAGGAGCTTCTTTCTCCCCAGTCCCTTATGCAGACATAAGTAGTTTCTGGGAACTTCACTTGCTGTAACAGTTTAATAATAATCCAAAGGTATCTCGTGAATTGCTCTGAAATCCTAATGGGCAAAGAAGAATATGGAAATCTGTTCCCAATGTGGATATTAGAGCAACAGATTCTGAGAAGCACAAAAGTCTGAGAGCTGAGCCTCTGCCCCCAGGGACCCAGCTGTAGTTCTGTGCATTGCAGTTCCCAGAACTCTTCTCTGCTCCAGAAGTTACCATAAGACAGGCATGCCTTGGAATTTCCAAGCCTTGCTGGTACAGTCGTCACTGGGTGTCATCTGGGACTGGTGCAATCCCAGCTCTGCTTTGAGGCCCACTTGCAGAGCCACGTGTCAGGCCAATTTCCATCCTTGGAATGAAAGAGTTTCTGCCCTTCTACCTGGCATTCTCTTTTTCAGAATGAACTTATAATTCCTTTACTTGAAACTGGACTACCACGAATTGACTATTTGGGAATTTAAAAAGCCATTTCTTCCCCTTACCAGTGAGCAAGGCAGTTTACAGTTCAAAAGAAGATGTGGATCTTTCTCTGATATCTTACTTATGGGCTTTCTAGACAGCACTTGCTGCCACAATTGGATTAATGTTTGATCAACATGGGGAGGATGTGAAGAATCCTCATTCAGTGTTGGTGGGAATATAAACTGGTACAACCTCTTAGAGGGTCTACTTTGAATCTAGAGGGAATATCTGTAAGAATTTAAAATGCATGAACAAATACCCTTTGACCCAGCATTCTCGAGGAATTTATCTTTTAGATATATTTGCATGGAAGCCAAAAACAATTTTAGAGGGATCCATAACAGAATTGTTTATAATGGCAAAAGACTGGAAATAACCTAAATGTCCATCAGGAAAAGATTGATTAAATTATAACAACAGCCTTATGTTGGAATTTTTTGTGCAGCTATTAAAAAGAATGGGCAGCTGTGTACATCAGAAGAAGCTTCACGTTGTTAGGAGAAAAAGCAAGATTTAAAACAAAGTGAGCCATCATTTGTGTAAGGGGAAAAAACTAAATAAGTACATACATGCTTTTATCTACGTAGAATATCCCTGGAAGGACAAACAAAAAACTGCCAATAACTGTTGTCCTTGAGAAGGGGAACTATGACAAAGGTAAAAGGGAGACTTCGTTTTTATATTATATCCTTCTGTATTATTTGAATAATGTTTTACTGTGTGCTGGTATTACCTCTTGCAATAACTTTTTTTTTTTTTAAAGATTTCATTTATTTATTTGAGAGAGAGACAGTGAGAGGGAGCATGAGCAAGGAGAAGGTCAGAGGGAGAAGCAGACTCCCCATGGAGCTGGGAGCCAGATGCGGGACTCGATCCAGGAACTCCGGGATGATACCTGAGCCGAAGGCAGTCGTCCAACCAACTAAGCCACCCAGGCGTCCCACCTCTTGCAATAACTTTTTAAATGTTTACTCCTCAGTAAATATTATATTAAATTGCTTTTGATTTTTCAGATTCTCAACATTTCATTTACTGGCTGGTGAACTGAGCAAGTTGAAGATGTACCCCTGTATATGAGGAACCTTAGAAAGATGCTAAGAGCCTCACCCATTTTTCTCTTTTAATAGCTCACAGACACAGACCAGATTAAACAGTGCATAGATGAATGCACAGCCAGGATTGAAATTGGATTGCATTACCAGATTCCTTATCCAAGGCCAGTAAGTGTGACTTCAGCTAAGTTGTGGTGGGTACTTATCCTCACCAACCCAGTTATTTCCAAGAATGTGTACCAAGAGGGTTTGTGTTTACCGAGAAGTCCAGAGCTTCTGTGGGAGGCATGTTGGAAGTAAGCTATCCTTGCATGCCGCCAACCCATCACAACAAACTAAAATGTCAGTGAATGCCGGATTTCTCCTACTCTTACAACTTTCCCACATTAGAAGGGAAAGCCAGCTTATATTTATATAGCTTTCTCTTTTTGACTTTCATCTTTTTTATGGAAATATTTTTCTTTTTCTTTTAATGAAAGACAGGTTTGTTGTTAGCATTTTTAAAGAGGAGTACATGAGGGGGGGAAGTGAAAATGGTCCAAAATTCTCACCCTGTGGAAGTTACCACTGTAACTATTAGGTTGGGGCATATGAAATTGCCATTGTTCTACTCTTAACCTACAAAAACAATAATTTTATACTGTACTGGCTCAACCTAATAGTTGGGCAATATAACCTTTGTCTTTTTTCTATATTCGTGTACATACATTTTCTTAACCTACATGGAATCCTGGGCATACTGTTTGCTGCTTGTTTATTTTACTTCATGTGTTCTGGCTATCTCTGCCTCCCATCTTTTTAAGTGGTTGTTGCTGTATCCTGTTACAAGAATGTGCCATAATTTACCCAGCAGCCATTTAGTAGGCATTTAGATGGGTCCCAGTTTCCCACTATGCCCAGGACAGCTTTGTACACAAACTGTTTTTCTCGCCTTCCTTGGATTCTCATCTCACCATGTGATGTGGTCATTTTCCCTCCATGCAGGCAATATGACAAAGAAGAGCACAAGCTGTGGAATCAGATCTGGGTTCAAATCCCGATTCTACCACTTCATGTATATATAAGCTTCAGCAAGTTATTTAACTTCTGAGCCTCCATTTATCATCTATAGATACTATCTTAATTCCTTATGAGATTATTGTAAGGATTAATGTATAAGGATCTTAAGGATTCATGAGTCAGTGCAGATTTAGAGCTTAGCAAAGAGCACAGTACCTAGTAAATCCTCAGCGGATATAAGCTGCTGTAATGATTATAATTCTTAATATTATCATTATTCTTATTCTCGTTATTCAGATTCATCTGCCTCCAATGGGCCTTACCCCACTACGAGGCCGGGGACTTCGAAGCCAGGAAAAACTGAGGAAACTTTCCAAACCAGTATATCTCAAGTCTCATGATGAGATTTCTTAACCCTGAAGAAAATTTGTTTCTCAGAAAGATTAGCCAACTAGGTCTTGAATGTAAACCAGATGACAAAACCCTTCTGTTTGATTAGGGGCAAAAATTAAAGTATCTTCTTAAAAACCTCCAAAATATTGGTATTCACTCCATGATCTGTACTCACACATCCTTACAGTTCATCAGGGTCTCGTTGCCTAGATGGATGACACTAACCCTAGAGGTTACACCCTCACTGAAGGTCATTTGGAAACAAGACTAAGGCCTATAGAAGGAAGACAAGGATGACAAAGCTTTTTCGTGGAAATGCCATTCACCAGTCATGGCCGCTGATATGAAGAAACTGGCCAGCTGCTGGAAGTTCTCATAGCTACTATAAAACTGTACACCACCTTCAGAATATTTTTAGGCTTATCCCCCAAAGTTTTCACTTAAAAACAACGGCTTGCTTGAACGTGGGTTTCTTTGTATATGTTTTGTTATCTTTTGACCTTCCCAATGTCCAGATAAATTCCCCTTAAAAAGTGCATCATTGGGGGGGCACCTGGGTGGCTCAGTGGGTTAAAGCCTCTGCCTTCAGCTCTGGTCATGATCCCAGGGTCCTGGGATCGAGCCCTGCATCATCGGGCTCCCTGCTCAGCAGGGAGCCTGCTTCCTCCTCTCTCTGCCTACCTTTCTGCCTACTTGTGATCTCTGTCAAATAAATAAATAAAATCTTTAAAAAAAAAAAAAAGTGCATTATTGGGGACACCTGGATGGCTGAGTCAGATAATCTTCTGCCTCCTGATTTCAGCTCAAGTCCTGATCCCAAATTCTTGGGATCAAGCCCTGTGTTGGGCTCCATGCTCAGCAGGGAATCTGCTTGAGGATTCTCTTTCCCTTCTCCCACTCCCCTCGTTCGTGCTTTCTCTAAAATGAACCTTTTTTTTTTAAAAGGTGCATCAGGGCACCTGGGTGGCTCCGTTGGTTGAGCGACTCCCTTGGGCTCAGGTCTCGATCCCAGACTTCCAGGATCGAGTCTCGCATCGGCCTGTCTGCTTCTCCCTCTGACCTTCTCCTCTCTCACTCATTCTCTCAAATAAATAAATAAAATCCTTAAAAAAAGAAAAAGTGCATCATTGGATTATTTTTTTCATGGGAAGTTTACATGAGACCCATCCCTGCCCCCAACATACACATACCCAAAAGTATTTGTGTTAGATAAATGCATATGTTTACTTTACCTTATAGCCTATGATCACTTAACGATGCACTTAGGATCTGAAAGGCTCACTTGAAACCCATACTGCATTCATAAGAATTTTATCTTAACATGATTAGAAAGTACAAGGGCCAAGCTGGCTTTCAAATTATGTCTAAACAAACGGCACAAAGAGAAATCAAAATACAAAGGATTTATACCTCTGCATGTGTGGAGTCCCATGGAAAGTCACGTGTACCTCCTCATCATTCCTTCTGACCTCCAAAGAGGATGAGCATCACCGATAAACACAAATCTGTATCAGTTTTGGTCTTTCTCTATTCTTTCCCAAAATGGCTTTGTGACCCTCAAAAGCAGCAGATAACTTCCTACTTATACCTAGATGTAGGATTCCATTGTCACACAGATCCTCTCAAAGTAAACGTTATGGGGCAGCTGGTGGCTCAGTTGTTTAGTGTCTGCCTTTGGCTCAGGTCATGATCCCATGATCCCAGGGTCCTGAGATCAAGCCCTGCATCGAGCCAGGCACTGAGCCCCACTCAGTGGAAAGCCTGCTTCTCCCTCTCTCACTCCCCCTGCTTGTGTTCCCTCTCTCTCTCTGTCCAGTATATTAAATCTTAAAAAAAAAAAAAAAGTTATATTTCAATCCCCAAACCTGCTCCTGTGAGCAGAAGCATACACTTTTCATGCTGAGAGTAAGTACTGCAGAGTTCGTCAATGACCTGGAGAACCACATCACTGTAGCAACAGCATATGCACATTGAACACAATTGCAGCTACAGGGCTTTGGTGAATAGAGACAAGAGAAATTTAAACGTGCCTGCAGATGTGTTGGCCATTGAGGGAGCACAAACCCTAGCCTCACTTGACTTGGGAGATACCAATCTGCTATTTTTTTTTTTTTTTAAAGATTTTGTTTATTTATTTGACGGACAGAGATCACAAGCAGGCAGAGAGGCAGGGAAGCAGGCTCCCTGCTGGGCAGAGAGGCAGTGATGCAGGGCTAGATCCCAGGACCCTGGGATCATGACCTGAGCTGAAGGCAGAGGCTTTAACCCACTGAGCCACGCAGGTGTCCCCCAATCTGCTACTCTGTTAGTCACTTTCCTTCTACCAGGTCTCACTGTGGAAGAGGCATCTCCCTGCTCAGAGGTGGTTCTAGTGTTTAAGCATTTTCTCGTGCAACACAGGGCCTGTGAAATCAAGTACTTCATCTGACAGTCAACCATTGAAACAGTGATCTGTTCTTGCATTGGAGGAAAAACTGGTTCTGCTAGACCCAAGTGAGGCATGGGTTGCCTGTCTCCTTCCTGGTCCCTTTCTAAGTAACTCAGAGTGATTTCTGACAGTGCAACTTTTGTCTTTAACGCTGCTGAATCTGCAGAAACCACACTTCCCCAGCCTCCTTCAAAATGGAAGTTCATCTAATTGCTAGCTAGCCTCCGGAGTATCTTCTGTGCGCCAGGAACCTTACCTAAATGTTCATTTTATATGCCTCGTCTCCTTTGCAAAAATGTATACCCTAATACACAGAAACACAACTGTCAATTTACTACCAAAACTTCCATATAAGTTATGTTTATAATAGCGTTCCCTCTCCCCGCCCCGCCACCACCACCCTCACCCCTCCATTTTTTCTCAAACACTGTAAGATCTCCATCTTTGGTCTTTTAAAGGCAGAACCTATCTTCCCTATGTCCCCTCTGTCAATGTAATTTTCTTCCAACACCAACAAGGACTGAAAACTATTTACCCAACAGCTAGATTTTTAAAGAGCAAGGACTAGCTTGGTGACAATGTTCCTCTGATGTTATCTGCTGAACTATTTATAGGCAGGACCTGCAGCTTCTCACTAAGCTGATTTCTAGCCATCTCTGCCCCAGGACTCCAGCCTCTAACTCACCAGGATTTCTGAAGAATATAGTGCTCTTTCCCAGGGGGGAGACATTAATTACCACATTGGCCCCAGTAGAAAATAACCTCAAATTCAGGGCACTCTTTCTTTGCAAAGTGGAAGAAATTTTTTAAATTACAAAAATTTAATCCATCCTACAGAAACATTCTGTCCCTTGACCCCTGAGGAATGAAACAGCCAGTCCCTGCTTCCCTCAGCTTTTTTGTTGCTGAAGCCGGGGGTTAGAGAATTAAAATTCAATTGTTTTCTCAGCAACCCCCTCACTGCCTTAAAGCTTACAATATGACTTAACCTAACCATTCCAAGATTCAGGCATTTGGGATCCTGACCATCTTTCCATCTCACATGACTAACAATCTTACTTGGAAAGATAATGGCAGTTTCAGCTCTCTATTCATTCTGATTCTCCTTCCCCCACTGGGGAGGGGGGAGGGCGGGGAACCGTCTTTCTCAACAACAACAACAACAACAACAAAAACTATTAAGCTACCTGCAATGAGCTGTAAGAGACTGCTCCTCTTTGCTGTTTCTTTATTGCCTCCTGGCAAGATCTGGAGAACTGCCCTTTCGTACTTAATCTCTAGGATCACTGGGATAATTTGCTGATCTCAGAATTCAGGGTTCTTAATCAGAATTTGATCAATTCCATGTTTCCATGAAAAGGTTTCTGGAAAAGGTTGGTTTGGTTCTCAGAAGCTTCCCACGTTCAGGAAAAATCAAAGACCTTGAGGACATTTCTTCTAGTGAAGAGGCAGAGAAACCAGCAGATGCAATAGGCTCTCGAACAGCCTTATGTCCTTGCTCAACAATGAACTGACCAGTGGAATGCCATGAAGGAAGTCACTTAGAGCCAAAGAGCTAAGTGAAGGAGTTAGCTAAGGAATAAATATATCAACAATATGATTTTCATATCCCCCAGGATTCTCTTCTAACTGGCCCTAGGGGAAAACAGTGATAAACTGGAAATTCTTTGGACATGGCTCTTGCAGCTACGCATTTAAGATTCTACATCATAACACAGACAAGTTGTTGGCAGGGAGGCAGCCTGTGGCAGTGAAAAATGCATGGGTTCTAGAGCCAGACAGCCCTTGCCTCAAATCCTCGCTCTGCAATGTGAAAGAGCTGGGTGATCTTAGGCAAGTTACATAATCTCCCTGAACCTCCAGAGAGAGAGAGACTGTCATACCTACCACAGGAACAAACGCCTAAAGGCCCAGGCACAACCCATAGCACACAGGAGGCCTGCAACAAATACTGGTTCTCTCATGTCTCCTTTCTTCCTGAAATTTCCACGCATCTGTTGCAGGCTAATAGAGAAGTATTTGCGTCCCAGTTCTACAGTGATGAACTGTGGAAACTTGAGCTCCTTATTTTTCGAAGCCTCCATTTCTGCATCTCTAAAATGGACATAATAATACCCTACCACATAAGATTGTTGTGAGAAGTGATTTTCAAATATGTCAAAACCTTGAAAAACGAAAGCAGCTCAGTCCTCTTTCAACCTGAGACACTCTGATGTTAGTGCATAGAAACAGAGTAGGAAGGAAGCAATTAAAAGTTCAGTGGTAGTTAAAGCAAAAGCAGCAAGAGAAAACCACAGAGGAGCTTAACCAAATGGCTAAAGGTCTAGGTTGAAGAAAGAGTCCCATTGTCAGTGTTCGAACCACTACTTCAGTAGCTATCTGAATTGGGAGATCTTACCTCCTCTGTATCATGGTTTCTACAGCCATAAAATGAGGATGATAATAATAACCTACTTTATAGGGGTGCTCTGAAATACTGGCTCACAGCAGGTGTCTATTAACATAACTGCTACCATCATCATCATACCCTGCGCCTCTTAGGAAAGGAAAGTTAGGTTGTAGTCAAGAATGAAATTCCTTTTATTTTCTGCGTTGAGACAGATGCCATTAATTATCCAGCTGGCACAGAGAGGCTACCCCTCGGTTTATCCAGTGCTTCTGGGGCCTGTCTGTTGGTAGTTCAATGGACAGGACATAGTTGGTAGAGTGGC